CGGGAGGGCGCGCGGGGGTGCGCGCCCCGTCGCTCGTGCCGCGTGGGCGGGGGCGGCGCGCGCTCCCGCCCGGGGCTGGCGGTGGGTGCCTGTGTGGCCGCGGGCGCCTTGCCCCGGCGGGGAGGCAGCTCTGGGGCCGCTGGGGGCAGACAGTTCTGGGCACGCTGGGCGCTGCCGCCGCCCGACCTCCCGGAGCGGAGCAGCTGCGCCGTTTAGCTGGTGTCGCGCCATCCGCAGCGAGTTTGTTCTAGCCTGTTCCACGAACGGGTTTAGATAGCCAAATATGGACGCTGATGCCACGTTTTAGGGCCTCTCGGTCACCCTTGAGGCCGTGACTATTTGCAGTTGCAGTTAGTGGATTTTCATGATTAATCGCTTGCTCTTGTGAGCAGCTTTTAAAAAATACGTCTTAGCATTTGCAGCTACAGACTGTTTAGGCCCACCAGCTGAGAAGTTAATCCTGAAATATATTTAACACCTGCCTTGTCAGCCAACATTTAAAAGCACATTTCTACTTTTTAAAAAAATCAGCTTGTGGATACTCCCCTAAAAGTTCATGTCTACCTCGGCTTAGATGGCGGTTTTCCGTGTTGGCAGGTTTCTAACACACATTTCTGTGTGAGCATTCCTTGGCATTTTTGAAAAGTGAATGGCAAATGTGTTTTTATAGTACTGTAAATTGGGATAACAGTAATAAACTCTGTAAAACGAATTAGTTTAGACATGCTGCGTTGAAGGTGTTTTCCTAATCTCTTGAGTTAGTAGGGTACTTGTATTTTATCAGATTTTTCTTCTCCTGTAAATCTGCAGAAATTCTTTACAACCCATTTTTGTAGGTGGGAAATATTGTAGGTGGAAGAGCCAGCTCTCCTGGGTGAAGTGGGACTCCGGTATGGACAGTTCTTCCTGGTTATGCACTCAGTATGTTTTTAAATCATTCCAGGGGAGAATTCAACCAGACCGAGCAGCCCCTGGGACTGGGACTGCTTCATCACTTTTGCATAGCGGGTGTTTAATATATGTAAATACATGATGCAGTCTAACCTTTTCAAAAATAAAACCACTCAGTAAAGGCCTGCTTATTTAAACAAAGCCTTCAACTTAGTCTCAGAACAGGAAGAAGAAGTAATGTTCTGAGTTAGAGCTGACTGTCAGCTTAACTTAAATTTCCTGGCTTTGGTCCAAGCTGTTAAAACCTTAATGCATCTTAAATAAACTTTCAACTTCCTTATTTTTCTGCCATTTCATTGAAACCCAAAGGTCAAATCTGAGAGAAATAAACACTACTTATCAAATAAATGACTGCAGTTGCTTTCGTATACACTCATACCTAGAAGTTTGGGGCATCTATTTTTTAAAAAATAATTATTTAATTTTATTTACCTTTTTTGGGGGGGAGAGAGAGATTTAAGCTATAGGGTCCATCCGTTCACTGGAGAGAGAGAAACAGAGAGACAGAAAGGAAGAAAGCAAGAAATCACACACCACCCCCAAAGGAAGATGGCTACACCGCAGTCCCTTCTCCATTCTCCTTGGGATTTGGGGCATGCATGCACGTGTGCCCACTTGAGTTTCAAGCCAGGGCCATGTGGGAGTCTAGCATCTTAACCACCATGCCACTTGCTGGCTCCAGGACATCTTTTTTTAAAGAATTTTTTTTTTTAAGAGATTTTTGCTGTAGGACTCCTACACTCGCCAGAAAGACAGAGACACAGAGAGACAGAAAGTGAGAAATCACCCCCCGGGGGGATGGCCACACTGCAATCCCTTCTCCTCTTGGGATCTTGGGCACGCACACACGTGCTCCTGACGTGAGTTTAAGCCACCGGGTCTGGGACTCGAACCACGGTCGACTACATGGGAGTCCAGAAACGTAGCCATTATGCTATTTGCTGGTCCCTTTAAAACAATTTTTAAAATAATTATTTAAGTGTGGATTATATGGGGGAAAATATAAATGAAATATTCTTACAAGTATACATATAGAAAGTGTATTTTGTATGATTTCGTTTCTGTTTTGACTAAAACAACTTAGAGTGTGGTTACTTGACAACTATTGACATTTTTAAAGATCTGTTCTTTTTTTTGAGAGTTTTTTGCTATAGGACGCCTGCGCTCGCCGGAAAGACAGAAAGAAACAAAGAGACAGAAATCGAGAAATCACACCCCGGGAAAAGGGGGGATGGCCACATGCAATCCCTTCTCCTCCATTCTCCTCTCAGGATCTTGGGCACGTACACACACATACCTGGTGTGAGTTTAAGCCACCGGGTCCAGGACTCGAACTGCCGTTGAGTACTTGAGAGTCCGTGACATAACCATTACGCTAAGTGCTGGTCCCTGTTCTTTCTCCTATTAAAAACACAGTAGCTAAATTGACTTAATTGAAGAGTTTGTCTCTGCCTAAATTCATCGCCAATAACTAGGTTTTCCGCATTCGTCACATATGAAAGACCACTAAAATTGGCGTTTTAAGATGATCAGGCTTGGGAACCAGCAGTTAGCGTAATGGCTATGTCGCTGGACTCCCACGTAGTCAACCGCGGTTCGTGTCCCGGACCCGGTGGCTTAAATCTCACGCCGGGCGCGTGTG